GAGTGACATCAATGATATTCGGTTACATGTTAAACATTATTTTTTTATGGTTCCTCTGTAACAATGATATTTCAAAGATAATATTTACTAAAAAATATGTATTGACTAGGTATATTTTTGTAAATTTTATTTAAGATCTCAATATCTCATGTACAACTTTTATATTTTTTCAAGAAACTCAAAAATGTATCCCATCCAAAACTAAAAGAGACAAATATATAGTAGGTATAAATTTAGAATAGGTTACCTTGTGACTATAGGGTATGTAGGTACTAATCAGTAAGTATTTAACGTTTCATGTCAAACGTGTAGCACATAGACTAATGCAATTTGTTTAATACAAAGGGATATTGGGTCCATCTTACCATCGAACCATACTTGTTATCAATGTATCATATTATTTGAATATTAATTTAAAGTTAAAATAAACCATTAGTGTAATGTACATAATTATTTAGACGTATAAGTTATAAAATTCAGTTGGGATCTAGTTAGTTAGGTATCTATAGTTAGTGGCCAACCCACTGTTTTATCTAAAATAAACAATAGTGAAATAACTTGGTCATACTACATGTATTATAGTATAAGTATAATACTTTATATGACATGACATCATCATGTCACATGACCATATTATTATATTTTTCTAAGATCCGTGATGAATGGACCGACAATATTGAAATAACAATTTACATATTTATATTACTATAAAAAAATGTCTTAAAATATATACATTGAAATGATTAATACTTTAATTATGGTGACAAAATAGAATAATAATTTCAAGTGCGTATTATAATCAAGTCAATTTAAACGTTTGTTTCCCCTCCCATAAAAAACAAACTGTACAAATTCTCAAAATTTTTTATGAATTTTTACAGGTATAGTTTTACCTTATTCCTTATTTTAATATGTTTGTGCATTGTATACCTATGTCATTAAAAATGATTTTTGTAAAAGCTATTTTTCAATATGCAGTTCTACGTTTAAAATATCAATAAACACAAAATTGCAAATATATGTTATTTTATTTTCTTATTATTGTTAATAAAAATATTCACACACATGAGAGAAGGTTTTTATAGAGTGGAGACATATTGGTATCGTTACTGACAAAATGGGGGTATGCAAACTTCATTGGACACCAATAACTGATGATCAGTCATCTGGAATATCTAAAAACGAGAATCTGTGTTCGATTGAATCATAAAAATTATTACAAAAATACATATTTGTATTATGTATTGAATAACATTATAGAGTCAACAAAATTAGTGACACTCGACGTTGAAACACTTTAATTGAAAACCGTGGATTTTTTTCAACAAAAACATTCAACCAACAATGTAAATTTAATAATAATAAAAAAAAGAAGTTGTTGAAAAATATCGTAGAACAAGCAATAAGTAATGCATAGTCATTTGTTTTCATAAAAAATTAACATTTTAATTTAAGTTCATCATGTATTTCGTATGTATTTATTCATGAAACGTTGATTGCATGTGTTCCGTTCAACTTCTTCGACACACGTTATTATAAAATACACAATCTGTATCTTAATAATAAATGCATAATATATTTCATAGACATTAAGAAATAGTTTTGATAATTTAAAACATAACATATTATCGATCTCTAACGATCGCACCAACAAAATAGCTGTAATATTTTTCAACTGAAAACAAAATATTTTTCTTTTACTTGTGAACAATAATCCATCGTTATGGAAAGTATCATTTTTTTGGTAAATATTGGACGTTATACAGGGTGATTTACCAAGCATCCTCGCCCCATTTTTTCTTAAAAAATGCAGTTATTTAAAATCTGATTTTTAGATTTTTTGAATTTTTAAACATACACCTTAAGACCTATATTATTTTCAAATTCTTGAATTTTTTTACTACTTGAGGAGTGTCCTGTGGAGTTACAAACTTCTGTCTTTAAATAAAAAAACACCCTTATTCAACTATAAATTATACATTAGATAATTTTTCTGAAACGTTTGACGTATCAAAATCAAAATTTGTTCGAGTAGGTAGTTTCTGATTTATTAAACTTTGAGTTCTAAGGGTAAATAGTCCATTGTGATGGGTTGTATGTTATAAGATATGGGGGCCACAGTGATTTGAAAATTGTAGTAATTAATATTATACTATTAATATTAATAATTTGTAAAAAATAGCCCAAGGATAATAAATATTGGATCCAATTATATATGTCTGTTTTATATTTAGATATAACCATTTTCTTAATGATTTTCCTTTATCCTTAATACAAACATTTTTATAACTAAGAAACTACTCATTCGAATTTTGAATGAGGTCCATAAATATTTTCAAAAAAATTATCCACTAAATAATTTACAGTAAAAAAAGGGTGGGGGTTCTCATATGAAAAACAGAAGTTTGTTTCTACACAGTACACTTGTTAAGTAGTACAGCAAAAAACCATTTATTTGAAAATAATATGTTCTTTGAGTATAATATTCAAAAATTCCAAAAAGCAGAATTTGAAATAAATACATTATTAAATGGAGGTGAGCATGCTTGGTGAATCACTCTGTATAATAATATATAATTATCATATTTTATTTTGCCTTTATTAAATTTTAGTAGGTAAGCACTCATATCAACTATTGATTTTTAACGGTGACTTATATTTAATTTACAAGAATAATTTTTTGTTTGAATAACAACTACAATGGAGTGTCAAAAGGTATTCCATTGAAAATACTAATCCGCTTGTAGTTATGCTTGAAGTATAAGGAGTCCATTAACCTGGTCCATATGAACACCCTTTGATGTGGCTTTTACTTCTAAATATAGTACACTAGCTTCAGTATTATATCATATTATAATATTTGTATGAATATGCTAACTTAACGTCAATGAATATTGAAGTATACACTTACAAGTTAATGATGTAATTTTTAAACTATAAGTATACCATTTCTATGTCACTAAGCTTAATAGAATCATAAATTATGTCAATTTTATCTGTATTGTGTAGAGTAAATGTATATAATGAATATACATTTTATTTAATCTAAATAATAATAATACAAAAAGAACGAAACATGCAAGGGAGTTCTTATTTAGAAGTAAACCATAATTATCTCAAAAAGGATTTTCGTTTTTAAACATTTATTTATATTATTTGAATTCTTTCATTTGTCCATGACATACTATGATAGTATAGAGTGTATATTTGGTACGTTTTTACTTTTTAGTTTTTACTTACGCTTGAAGTTAAATTTTTAAAACGATTTAAATATAATTATTTGAATACTATTGATTTTTTCTAGACACGGTTCATTATAATTTACCTAAATCAAAATGTTGAGACTGGATATTTTGAACTAATTATTACAGCATAATATTATAACTATTGTAGGTAGGTAATTGTTTTTCTAGCCGACATACGAATCATCTCTCATTTCCATCGGGAAAAAATAATAGCAGAACAAACACTTATTTTCAGCAAATATTAAATCAATAAACGGATTGTTTCTTTTACTATTGACACGAAGTTTTTGAAAACCAGCCGACAGAAACATCTCATGTTTTTATTTTATTTTTATATTTTATACTTGGAGTCTTAGATATTTGTAATAATACTTGGAACTTACGAAAAGTTTGATCACAAGTTTCTATTATAAATCCTTTTCCCCCTAACACAGTATTATTATTTTCATAGTTTCTGAGAAGAGACCAGAAACTATTAAAATTTAAATCAGAGAAATATAATATATCCAAGACACGTCTTCTTAATACCATATTATATATTCGTAACTAGTTGAATAAAAAAACTAGTTGATCAACTCTAGCTTTTTTTATTTTATTAAAACAAGTTTATTATAGCAGACAACTTTGGGTGAACAATTATTTTAAATTGAAATAAATTAACTTTTTTTATTTTACATTTATATTATTATGACATATTCAAAAATATTTCTACAAAATTTAAATATGTAACTAACTACTTTTTTGATGATTTAAATATTTATCAATTGTGGGTTTCATATGATCTCAATGCCTAATTTCAGGAACATAGAGTTATTTCAAGCACCTTCTCTCTGTCCGTAATTAAACATTTCAATTAGTAGACAATAACAATACTTTGCTTTACGCCTTTACCTCGTAAGCTGTATAAAATCCATCTTATTTGTTCATTAGATATCGGCCGTGTGTGTAGTGTGAAACTCTCGTTATTATAATATGCAATTAAAGTATACAAATCATTACACAACGATAAAATAGTTTTGTTTTTTATAAAAAAAATGTTTAGCAAAATAATTATAAACTTGAACTAAACTCAGCTAAATAAAACCTACAACAGAACGTTGGAAAAACATAGCTAATCTTAATAGAAAAACAGAATCAATATTAACACGTTTAAGGATTTGTCATATACTAGCTACACACACAGCTACCTCATGAACAGAAAAGAACAAACCAAGTGCGCTACACATGTGGAGTTAATCTCACAATTAACCATATTATGTACTAGTCGAATGCAGACCAACAGAAGCTGCTAGAACTGAACAAAACATTCCAGAATTTCTACATCAGTCACTATATCCGAACATATCAACCATCAAACTGACTTTAAGTTTCATAAAAGAAATACAAATTCAAAATTCATTGTAAACAATTAATATGTAAAAACAAAAATTATTGTAATAACCAGTATTAAGTAAAAAATTATTCCAAATATCAGCCAACGGCCATCGCTGCCGAGGAATATTTCTTATAAAAAAAAAAAACAAAAAACAAAAAATGTATAAACTTTAATGTAACTTAAATTAATTATTTGTTTATTTTTTGCAAAAATTATTATATAAAACTAATTTATATAAATAAAATAATTTTTAACCCAACACTCAGTGAAATATACATTTTAGTAGTTTGTTCGAGTTGGCTATCAGTAGCCGTCGCGAATGGTCGTTAACCGCGTCTCTGCCTGTGCCACATATTACGCGTCAATAATAAGCAATCCGCATGTTCCCTAGTAGTGGGACTGGGTCCTCCGGGACCCAAAAACCTACCAAACCCATCAAGCGTTCAAGTAGTACTGCTCTATCACCTCCCAGTGTAAACAAAAATCGTTACTCACCTCTATCAAACTTAAACGAAGACGACAACGATGATAATATGAGCTTAGTAACTCAAAGTGACGGTGATGAAGCTCATCAATCTACTGAGGTTAGTCAAAAAATACCACCTATTTATGTACACAATATAAAAGATTTCGAAAATTTTCATAATTCACTAACAAAAATGATCACCGACGAACTTTCGATCACTCAAACCAAATATGCCTTAAAAATAAATTTGTCCTCAATCGACGACTATAGACACGTTACGAAAAGTTTTGACGAATCTGAAATCGAATACCACACCTACCAGTTGCCGTCGGAAAAACCACTTTCAATAATAATTAGGAACCTCCCAGTCTCAATATCTGAGGAGTCTGTATTCAAAGCGCTGACAGATTTAAAATTCAGTGTAACCTCTGTCACACGGTTGCAAAATCGATCTAAATGTCCTATACCTATTGTTGCAGTCTTACTATCCATATCGTCCAAAGAAATATATTCCTTAAATAGACTTTTACACTGCGTCGTCCTAGTTGAACCTAGGAAACCCACAAAAGGTATTCCACAGTGCACTAACTGTCAACGCTTTTCACACACTAAAAAATTCTGTCATCTCCCCCCAAGATGTGTTAAATGCGCCGGTGACCATCATTTTACCCAATGTGTTAAGGAGAAAGACACTCCTCCGAAATGTGTAAATTGTGAAAAAAACCATCCAGCTAGCTACAGAGGGTGTACTTATTATAAAGAAATTTCTAAAAGCAAAAACAAATTCAACTCTAAACAGCCCGTGAATAATAAAAATATTACGTACCAATCAACCCAACCCATCGTAAATAATGAGTATCATAATGAACCGTTATCAAATGATTACGTAAATACAAAACGTAAAACTTACGCATCAGCTGCTAAATCAAACATCACTACGGATAACGACTTTCTCAAAACACTTCTACCTCTAATAAACTCCTTTGTAAGTCAATTAATGCAGAAAATCATTGAAAGTCTGCCAGTCATCATAAATAGTATTAATTCTAACTTAAATGTTCAACCATAATACAGTTTTGTTAAATTGGAACGCCAACGGACTAAAAAATAATAGAAATACCTTATTAGCATTTCTTAACCATCACAATATAGATATCGCGTGCATAAGCGAAACACACCTATCAATAACCGACAAAATTAAATTCCCCGGTTACATAATATACCGTGCGGATCGAGTCACACAACTTCGTGCTATGGGCGGCGTAGCCTTACTAGTTCGAAATAAAATTATACAGCAACAAATGCCTATAACCGGTCTCGAGTGTTTGGAAGCCGTGGCAGTCTTAATAAACATAAATAATAAAACAACTATGGTCGTTAGCGCCTATCAACCACCCAGTCGTAGAATGCTTATCGCTGACTACGATAAAGTAATGAGCCTACACAATTCTATTATAGTCGCTGGTGACCTTAACTCCAAGCACACTAATTGGGGCTGTCGCGTCAATAATCCGAACGGTGTCAAACTTCATAATTTTATCGCCAACACTCCCTACTCAATAGCTGCACCAAACGAACCTACCTACTTCCCTACGGACATCAACAGACTACCAGATATTTTAGATATTTTATTATTAAAATCAATTCCGTTTGTATGCATGCAAGAAACTCTCGCTGAGCTTGACTCAGACCACGCACCTGTAAAAATTACATTAAATTCTACTTCTCAATCTTATCAGTATAATAATTCACTAATTAAAGGCAAACCAAACTGGGATATATATTCTAATCAAATAAAAACAAATTTAAAAATACCAAATAGTATACCTTCTATACAAGCGGCGGAACAAACATCAGAACATCTAATTACAGTCATTACAGAAGCCGCACAAGCCTGCTTCAAACCCAAGACACATAATAATTCTCAAAATATCGGTTTTATACCACACTTTATACTATATTTAATACGTCAAAAACATATTGCTAGACGGAATTGGCAAATCCAAAGAAACCCGGCAACTAAAAAACTCTTAAATCAACTCACTAAAAAAGTTAAAATAGCGCTACAAAGCCACCGTGTATCGTCTTATAATAACTATTTATCAAATATGCATCCGGGTGACACAAATTTATGGAAAGCATCCAAAAGACTGTTAAATCAAGAAATAAACACTATTCCCCCTCTTTGTAAAGACAATCAACTAGTGACTTCTGATGCCCAAAAATGCAACGTCTTCTCAGAAATGTTATTCAACACGTTTTCTGTTAACCAAATCTCTAATACTAACAACGACCGTCGAGTCCTAAAATTCTTAGATCTACCCGATTACTCTGTCCAGAAACCTATGGTACACGTAACACCTAATGAAATCAAGCTAATTATAAAAAAATTACCAAACAAAAAAGCACCAGGAAACGATCGCATCACGAACATCATGTTCAAGAAGTTACCCGCTATAGGTCTCGTCCTTATGACTGCATTATTTAATTCTCTGTTAAGACTTGAACACTTCCCACCGAAGTGGAAAATAGCAACGGTCATACTTATCAAAAAACCTGGTAAGGATAAATCGAACCCGGATTCCTATAGACCAATAAGTCTTTTAACCTCCTTATCCAAAATATTTGAAAAAGTTATCCACACCAGGTTACAAGATTTTATAAATAGCGCAGACACTATTCCTAAATTTCAATTTGGATTTAGATCGAACCATTCAACAGTTCAACAACTGTTTCGCATAACAGAGCATATCAGCACCTCCTTTGAAAAGCACTGTCACACGGGTGCCGTCTTTATTGATATATCAAAGGCTTTCGACAAAGTATGGCACACAGGTCTTATGTACAAATTAAAAAGTATAAAAACACCAAAATACTTATTCTATATCATTAAATCCTTTCTTTCGGACAGACAATTTTCAGTAAAAATAAATGACTCTTTCTCTGACCTCCAGCCTATCACTGCCGGCGTACCCCAAGGATCCAAGCTGGCCCCAATCTTATTTAATATTTATATATCTGATATCCCACAGTCACCACGCACCAATATTGCCCTTTTCGCAGATGATACGACAATTTACAGCGAATCCAGGAACATAGAAGCGGTAACTCACAACCTACAAAGCCACTTAAATGTATTATCTGATTGGTGTAAAAACTGGAAGATCCAAATAAACGCATCAAAAAGTACAGCAATCATTTTCAGCCTTCGTCGCTACTCCGCACCACCACCATTAAAATTCGACAACGTGCCTATACCTTGGGAACCAACTGTAAAATACCTCGGAGTCACTCTTGATAAGAGGCTGACCTGGGGGCCTCACTTATCAACAAAACTAAAACTAGCATATCAACGTCTTTCGATGCTATTTCCAATAATAAATAAAAAATCAGTCATTCAAAAAAAATGTTCAATCCTAATATACAAGCAACTTCTACTACCATTAATAACTTATGCTTGTCCAGTATGGGGGAATTGTTCGGCTACACACCTAAAAAAAATTCAAATATTTCAAAACAAAGTGCTAAGAATTATTACAAATGCTCCGTGGTTCATTCGGAATGAAAATATTCACAAAGACCTCCAAATTGTCAAAATCGAAGACCTTATACGATCACTATCAAAAAAATTCCATACTTCATTACTCAACTCAACAGGCTCACTTCACTACAATCTCCATATTCATCCACCACTCCAACGACGTCTAAAACGTGGTCGCCCTCATGACCTCATTATTCCAAATCAACCTCCAGTCTAATTGTACATATTATAATAGTTTTGCATTTATTTAGTATCTCAAGTATCTGTTACCACACCACCGTATTCATATTGTTATATTTAGAATATTTATTTTATTTAGCTTATTTAGCATTTACTTACTCTATAAATATTATAAGATCACATCACATTTATCATATTTACACATTTTCACCTTGTATAATATATAATGTCTAATCAATAATCTTAAGTATCAATGTATCATTACTTGTTATATTATTAATTAATGTTATCATGTTTAAAATTGTCAACAAAATTACAGTTTCTATAAATATCTATAGATGTAGATAGCCTACATAGGCTAGGAATGTCTTATTATAACAATAATAAAAAAAAAAAAAAAAAAAAAAAGTAGTTTGTAAAATTATAAAATGATTTATTATTATTATTTGAATCTTATAATATTACAAACTCGAAATTTAGAAAAAAAATATAATCGATTTTATCATAATACGAAACACTATATTAAATAATAAATAGATTTTATTCCAACGTATAGAATCATGAACGCCATTAACAAATCAATGCTTTTACTTTGATCCTGTATTGATAATAGCAAAATATTCAATTCATGATACGTATATATTATATATTATTTTGTATTTTTTTTTTTTTATAAGAATTAGTATAATGCAACCATTGGTGAAAGCTCTTAAGTTTCGTATATTCCACACTATTATTATACGAATGAATAATATTATGAAATAGACAAAAAATATCTAAATTCCATAGACGGGTCGGTATGCATAAACAAAACGGACGAAAAATAAAGTAATAATTCATCCAATATTCTTCGTAATATGTAGGTATCTATCATAATAATATTTTACTATATACATATTATTACGTCGTATTCAACAAAGTTCAATAATACGATAGTGTTATTATAACTGTGCTCTGCGCAGGTTAACGAAAACGTAAAATATTACTTTCTCGTATAAATAATGAAAAAAATAGCCGTTGCGTTAGTGCCAGCATAATATTTATTTTATTTGTATAATAATATAATAGCCTTCAGTCGTGTAATACATATAATATCTGACTTCGATGTATAAACAGTACAACGTCGTGGAGTGAGTGTGTTTATTTAGTTTTGGCCTAATCGCAGGAGAAACATTGAGCATTGCTCAACACGTCCATTTACTGTACGTCTGTAGTACCCGTTACTGAGATATTTACTGGTGACAAATAAAACCATCATAGTATTGCACTATTGCGAAACAGATCCTCAACTACGACATTGTGTTTACAATAATATCCATAATTAAACTAGAACATTAGGCTAAAGAGTGAAAGCTAAACGCTATAAGCGAAACAACTGTTCTGTCTCTCAACCGTTCGAAAAACCTATCTCACTAGTCACTGTAGGTGGGTCTCGTCATTTTTCGTCTTCGTTGTTTTTCGTCAATATTACTGATCAGCCATTAACCGTACACGACTGCAGGGACAGACCTAAAACCCAAACCAGAGCTAAAACGTTGCAGCGGAGGCGTATACAAAACTTCGAAACACGTAGCACCGCGTACAGTGGACGGATTCGTGTCTTCGCAATTAAGTCTTGTAAAACCAGCTGAAATTACTTGTTGTTAACAGTTTTACTTCGACTAGGTAGGTACGTGATTCTTAAAACGAAGGGCCTACAGCTACGCCGTGGCATACAAACTAAATTAATATTATTATTTCAGATAGTCGTGTTGTCTGCCTACGACCCACGTTCGTCGATATACTTTCGTTGATATCTTGTACCCGAGCTCCATAATATAATATAATATTAAATTAATAATGATCCAGAGCTGTTTTACATTGTTTGCAAGGGCCGCAGGTCACGTCTAAAACTCCACTCGTTCCGTGATATACTTTCGCGGATGATACCCGTCAACTGCACGTTTACGTTTCGGAGCACGCCAAGAATGCGTAAGTCGAATTTGTATTCAATTTTCTTAACGTTTAGTTACCATGGGCACGTGCAGTGTGCTGATATTCACCGAACTCGTAGATAACACAACAGCTCAAGTAATTCGAACACACTCATATTATTATAATAATATTATCTAATGATAGCTATAGTTTAAAATATTTTGTTTGTAACTAAATACATATATTGATTTATTCATTGGATGAACCGTTATTATAATAATATAGATATTTAAAGAACATACAATTATGTGTTTAATTATGTCGGCCAGACGCCAGGACATCGGAAGCTTCATTACCACGTACGGCCCTCGACTGACAGCTAGTCCTTTATTTTATTCGGGAAACACTGTTTTATTTACAATTTGAATGCATAA